GGAAATGTACAGGTAGATGTTTTGTAGCAAAAGGAGGGGAGTGATTAACTTTGCAGTCTAGGAACAGAGGTCCCTGGGACCATCAAGAGAGAAGAGCAGAGTGCAGTACCCTACTCAGAGAAGCAGTGATGCCACAGATGGAGGCAGAGATAATAACGTGGAGAGATGGAGTGGCTGGGGACTCTAGACACAAAGAGGGAGAGGGGCTGTGTGCTGACGACCAGGGGGCAGGCTTACAGGGTATACCCTTTGGTTGGTTGATGATGCATGGAGGGGACTGTAACCATGACAATGAAATGATATACTATAGGATGAATGTAAAGCTGATGTTCTCCCATGTAAACTATCACACAATTCACAATAAAACATGTAAAGATAAAAACGGTGGAGTCTTGAGGGATGCTCAGAAGGAAGGATCCAGGTCCTGGCCATCTGTCCTGGCTGTCCTCCCCTAATGTGCTTCTCTATCCTCTTTTGTACTAGGGTGGCAGCTCTGGTCTCGGGGATCACATGCAGGAGAGCTGGTGCCTCAGCAGACTACCGGCAAAGCTCTTCTTGGCTGGGGCTGGGTATTAGGTGCATTCCCAGTGTAGGCAGAGGGATGGAATTACTGGGACTGATTTAGACTAGTCAAGAGTCATCTCCTGAGAGTGGTGAGGTGGGCCCAGCCTCCTTCACTCTCTCCAGCCCTCCCTCCAGGCACCGGGCTCAGGGAAGAAGAGGAGGCAGGAACAGGGCTGAGAACTGGGATCCAAGCCAACATCTGACAGACACCAGAGGGCATCTGTTGGTTGACAGGAATACCAGGAGGCTTCAGAAAGTTCTTGGAAAAAAATGAAACAAAAAGATAATGGCATTATCGAGCTTTTTGGCACCCTGGTGTAAGTCACAGAGGTAGATAGCACTCTGCCCTGTTATTCTGGAATGCTGGGTTTGGAGCTGGCAAGTGTCATTTCCCACTGGCTCTGCAGTCTTTCCTCATTTTTATCCCCTTTCCATCATTGTACTGGGTTTTCTGTCTCCCTTTCCCCCTCACCTTTCATCTCCAGGGTATGTGTTGCCCGTCTTATAGAACAGATTGCATACCCCTTAGCTGGGGAACGTTCATCTGGACAGAATGTTCGGAAGACTGATCTCGGAAGGCTGTAAGCCTTTAGGAGGGATTAAACTGGGGCTTTTGTTTAGAGTGGACAAGGAGTGTTGGTGATGCAGTTGTTAAGGTGCTTGGCTGCTAGCCAAAAGGTTGCATTTTGAACACACCAGCCACTTGGTAGGAGGAAAATGAGTTGGTCTTCGGTAAAGATCTCAGCCTTGGAAACCCTCTGGGGGTAGTTCTGCACCGCTCTGAGTTGGAATCTACTCCACGCCAGTGGATTTGGTTTACTTTTGGTTTAGAGTGGGTTGTTATTGTTAAGTACCGTGGAGTCGGATTCGACTCACAGTGACCCTGCACAGGGTTTCCGAGGCTGTAAATCTTTACGGGAGCAGAACACCTCAGGTTTCTCCCGCGGAACTGCTGGTACTTTCGAATTGCTGACCTTGAGGTTGACAGCCCGACTCGTAACCACTATGCTACCAGCGAGTGGGTAGAGTTGCTGTAAAGGCCTTCCGGAACCCTGGAGAAGGTGTGGCCAGGCATCGTCGTGGGGGCGGTGCTGATAGCGTGGACGGTGTTGGTGCGGATGTACGAAGGCACATGTGGAGACCGCACAGTGATTCTGGTGGCTGCTTGGCTTGCAGATGCTCCAGGACTGCCCGAAGGCACGCAGGGAGGTGGAGCTGCACTGGCGGGCCTCCCAGTGTCCGCACATCGTCCGCATCGTGGATGTCTATGAGAATCTGTACGCAGGGAGGAAGTGCCTGCTGATCGTCATGGAGTGGTGAGCAGCCCCGCCCCTCGGTCCTGGGCCCGCCCCCACTTTCCACTCAGGCCGCTCACTCCCTAGGGACAGCTAGGATGTTTCCTGGGCGGGGGAGCAGTGATCGGCAGGGAAAGGCCGCCCTTCTTCGCTCATCTCACAGAAGCTTTGTTTCAGTTTGGATGGTGGAGAACTCTTTAGCCGCATCCAGGACCGAGGTGACCAGGCGTTCACAGAAAGAGGTAGGGTCTACTGCGGGGACAGGCCTTGGACGGGCAGGGTAACTGGGTGTTCGAAGGATAGGGGGTGCCTAAGTGCCTGCTTTCTGTGGAAGGTGTTGAGGACTGCTAACTCCTCCCGGTCATTGCTGGGGTGTCAGCCTCAGCTGAGGCCAGGACAGCGCCTCATGTCTTTGGTTAGGGTAGGGTGGTGGATGTGGGGAGTCTTGGAGTGCTTGCTTGAGCGACAGGTATACTGAGGTTTCAAACGGCGTGACACTCCTCTGTGACGGTTTTCCTGCTCCTGCTACCTCTCCTCTCTCCAGAAGCGTCAGAAATCATGAAGAGCATCGGGGAAGCCATCCAGTATTTGCACTCAATCAACATTGCTCATCGGGATGTTAAGGTACCAGCTCTTTACACCCCCAGGCCCTGGGAGCAGGGCCACGGTGACCCCTTTGGAAGGCTGTCAGAGCTGTCTGGCACCTTGACCGCCGCCCTTGAGCAAACCCACAAACCCAGAGGTGAAGCCTTCCTTGTCACACTCAACCTTGCGGTTCCCCTCAGTCAGTTGCTGCATAATCACACCCAGGTTCCTGTGTCCTGTGTCCTTCTTTCTGTGTTTATCACTGCTGCTATGGCTTGTTTCCTGCTCAGCACACTGAGCTGTCTGCAGCCAGGACCTGGCCCTCTCCAGGTGTCATTCCATGTAGTGTACAGACCACCTGGACAAACGACTGCTGGGGGGAATGAATCATTGCCTATCTGGCTTAGGTTAGTCCTCACAGTGGGGTTGTTCTATGTCTATCTCTCCTCCTCTCTGTAGCCCGAGAACCTCTTGTACACCTCCAAAAGGCCCAATACCATCTTGAAACTCACAGATTTTGGATTTGCCAAGGAAACTACCAGCCACAACTCTTTGACCACTCCTTGTTATACGCCATACTACGTGGGTAAGTCGGGGAGATGCATGGTTCCAGTCTGCCCCTGGACTTTACTCCCTCCTTCCTCTTGCAGCAATCAGGGGGCTGTAGATCCTGGCAGAGTTGTGAAGGGCTGGTTCTGATGTCGTCTTGGTCAGAGACCAGCCCATAGTGTTACCCTGTGGTCAGAGAAATGACAGGAACTGATCTAAGAGGTGTAGTTTACCATGAGAAGACAGTCTTTCCCATGAGCTTCTTATGGAGTCTGGGGCCTCGATTTGGTTCTGGAGCCTCAGCTGTCTGGCCTGGCAACACGTGTTTATCAGATGAAATGGGCAGCATGAGTCTGAAAGTCTTGCAGTTCAAGATTTGTTGTTGTTGTTTAGTCCGAAGATTCTTGCTCTGGGGTTCCTCTTTGGAAGAGGTTCTTCTGCTTTCCTCCCTCCAGCCCTGAGGAGGTTGGGTTAGGGATGTTCCTCTTCCTGCTCCATTTGGGTTACTGAAGGACTATCCTGGAAGCATTATCCACAGAGAATCTGAGGGAGGTCCCAGACTCTTGAGGGCCAAGCCCAGCATGTTGACCTTTGGTTTGCAGCTCCAGAAGTGCTGGGCCCAGAGAAGTATGACAAGTCATGTGACATGTGGTCCTTGGGTGTCATCATGTACATCCTGTGAGTGTGCCGGGGTTGGGCAGGAGCAGGGCTGTACCTCTCCAGGAGGAAGGGCGGTGGGGAGGGGAATGTCTCTGGGAATCCCCTGCATGCCCCCTCTCTCAATGCTTAGCAGATTTTGATAGCTAAGTGGTGAGTATAAACTAACTTTTGGGCAGGAAAAGAGTGTTCTTTAGAGTCTTGGTCCCTGTTCGTGACTTTGCATATCCTGGCTGAATCAGTGAGCTCCTACTTCTCAGTAACTTTTACAAGAAGAGTATCTCATTTCTCATCCTATTCCCTGTCCTTGTCTTCCTGTCTCCTCTCTGGGCTCAGGCTTTGTGGATATCCCCCTTTCTATTCCAACCACGGCCTTGCCATCTCTCCGGGCATGAAGACTCGCATCCGAATGGGCCAGTATGAATTTCCCAACCCAGAATGGTCAGAAGTATCGGAGGAAGGTAGGAAGCAGTAGAGTCCTGTGTGAATGTGTGCATGTGTGGGGTGGGAGGTGAGGGGGGCACCTGTCTCACATGGGTGGTATTGGTTATGGGTCTGCACCCGTACCTCCATGTGCTGGGTGTGTCCCGCCTGTGTGAAGGGTCTGAGTCAGAGTTGGGTGTAGGACTCTAAGGGCTTACCAAGCAGCATAGCTATTTGAGGCCTTGAGGCCAAGTTCCTTGGGCAGTCTGTTTCCATGTATCCTCCTACTTTGAGCCTGGCCTCCCCCGAGAACTGTGGGAAGGAGTAGGGCAGGGAGAATGGCTCCTGATCTGAGATCTGTACCCTGCCCCACCCCACAGTGAAGATGCTCATCCAGAACCTGCTGAAAACAGAGCCCACTCAGAGGATGACCATCACGGAGTTTATGAACCACCCCTGGATCATG